TCTTTGTTTTACAGAAAAACTGAGAACTCATTCATGATCATCTTAACTTATGTAGATGATATTATTGTCACAGGTGGTTGTGATGCAGAAATAGATTACTTTGTAACCAAACTGAACAACATCTTTCACCTCAAGGATCTTGATGCATTGCATTATTTCTTAGGCATTGAAATTATACCTCAGTCATATGGTTTACTCCTCTCTCAACAGAAGTACATCAATAAAATTATCTCTACTGCTGGAATGTCTGGTGCAAAGGGGCTAACCACTCCTATGTCAGTAACCTCTCATTTCTCCAAACATGATGGTGATCCCTTACCCAATGCCACTGCATACAGGAAGATAATTGGTGCTCTCCAATATGCAACAATTTCTAGGCCTGATATAGCTTACAGTGTGAACAAGCTGAGTCAATACATGCAAGCTCCAAGAACCTCTCATTGGAAATCCCTAAAGAGGGTATTAAGATATCTGTCTGGCACATTGCATTTTGGTTTAGCTTTCAAACCATGTAACACCTTCTCCCTAACAGCTTTTGCTGACGCAGACTGGGGATCAGACAGTGATGATAGAAAATCAACCTCGGGATATTGTGTTTACCTTGGAAGCAATCTGATTTCATGGGGATCGAAAAAGCAGCAAGTTGTGTCTCGGTCAAGCACTGAAGCTGAGTATAGAAGTATTGCTACAGCTACTTGTGAACTAATGTGGCTTCAGTCTCTTTTTCTTGAATTGGGAATCAAGACAATCAAGCCAAGTGTAATTTGGAATGATAATATAAGTGCTGTCTGCTTATCAGCCAATCCGGTTTTTCACTCTCGCACAAAACACTTTGAGCTCAACCTTCATTTTGTGAGAGAAAAGATCATGCAACGATTAATTTCAGTCCAACATGTACCTGGCATTGATCAAACGGCTGATATATTCACAAAACCGATTGGTGCCCAATTTCATGCTCGGTTAAGAGAAAAACTGCAGGTTATTCCCCAAACCTCCATCAAATTGAAGGGAGATGATAAACCAGCTCGTCAGTCACGTGCCAGCTCACCTGCCACGTCAGCGTTACTCTCCACTTCACCAGGCACGTGCTCATACGTGCAGGAACAAAGTGACAAAATGAGGAGCGCCCATGCATAGTACATGCAGCTGTATTTACAACTTTTTATTTATTTTTATGATATTTCATATTTATACTCTTTGTTGTCTTCTAGTTTGGGATCTAGACTATTCCTAGGGCAACATTTGTAACAGCTATATATATGGCTGCCTCTGTTAAGGAAACATATCCAATCAATCATTTTCTTCATTATGCCGCCGCCTATCTTATATCCTCCATGAATTTCTGTGAATTTCAACATAATAAAAAATATATATATAAGAAAAATTGATAATATTTCTTCATATAGGCTGACATGTTCGGTTATTCTGTTTATTAAAAAAAAAACAAAAACTGGCATTTAATCAACTAATATTAATCGATCGATTTCCAAAATTATTGTATTTTCGGTACGATGGTGTGTTGTTTTATAAGGTGAAACACGATACGTTAAAAGGTGCGACATATTATTGTATAAAGTGCAACATAATAATATATAAAGTGCAATACTTAAATTTTGGTAAGTTAGCATACTTGTATTTTTTTTTTTTTGGATAAATGATGTGATGGATATTAAAGTATTATGTACATCCCTGTTTTAATTTTATTTTGCAATATATTTTGGCGGGAATTGTTGATGGAATATGGTTATAAAGTGCAACGTGGCGTGTTATAAAATGCAACTTGTTGTTTTCTACAGTGCAATGTTTCGTTATATAAAGTGCAATAATTTATTTTGAAATAAATTGTGTGTATTCGAACACTAATTTCGATAAATATCATCGTACATTGAATTAATCTGAATAATTAAATATCTATTTATTTACTTACAAAATTTACTTACAATTATTATTTTTTATATTATTTTAACATTTTATATTTTTTATACCTTATTTATTATTTATTATATGTGCATAACAATATATATAAAAAAATAAAATTTTATTAACTTTCAATAATTACATTTTTTACCCATAGGTAAAATTGAAATAAAATTATAATTATTAAAATTGTAAATAGGCCCCTAGACACAACTTAATTCTAAAAAAAAAAAGGCCCAATCCCACCCACCAATTTCACCCATTTTTCTGGTAGGACTTGGCTCAGGCAAGCACATGAGTACCCCTCCGACGATGCTGTTGTGTCCTCTGCAGCCTGACAGTTGAAGCGGCCGATCGCGACTGCCTTGCCGGCGAGCGTGGACCTCCACACGACGAGACGCCGGACCTGATGAGCCTTCCGTCGACGCCGGTCCTGATGATATGTTCGTCGACGATGGACATGGTGAGCTCTTCGGCGCGACCCTACCGACCAGAAGGACGTGTGGTAGCTCGCGTCGGGATCGCCGTGAGCTCTGTCCTCCGGCGAAGTGCGTCATTTATTCGATCGTCATGGCTGGTGCTTAGATAGGGCAGTTGCTGTGTCTGTTCTTGGGCGGCGGGACTGTTCACGGAGGGTGGCGGCGCGACGTCTACGGCGGCGGCTGGTGGCTGGTGGATGGCGGTCGGCGGCGAGTTGGGCGGTGGGCGGAGGTGTCTCAGTCGTGGTGTGTATGAGTATTTTGTGTGTGTGTGTGTGTGAGAGATAAGATGTGCTGTGTGTGTGCGTGTGTTATGTGTCTGTGCGCGTGTGTGGCGTGTGTATGCATGTGTTGGGTGGGTGGAGATGATGAGGTGGCATGATGATGTGGTGGTGAGTGTAATGGTAATGCCCAAATTACCCTTAATTAAAGTATAATTTTGACCTTTTTTAACTATTAGATCATTCCATCTAATGACTACAATTTATATTCTCATTTCTTTCACTGCATCATTCTCATGTGAACCCAACCCTTGGTATACAAACACAAACTAATTTTCCAATAATCGTTGGGCTAGCCACTACTTTCACGGCGAAAATTTATAACTGACCCTCCCTCATAAAGGATTTCCGCATAAATAACTCCCAATACACATTTCCAAAAATGCTTGATAGTCAGACTTAATTAGACCATCAATAAAAAAAAAATAAAAAAAAAACGTGGACTAAAACAACAGTTGAATTGAAACGTTCTGTATGACAAAAAAATTAGAATTTGAAAAGATAACTGATGTCAGGTATTATACATAACATGAAAATAAATCACAACCACATAACTGTGCAAAAGAAAATTCAGAAAAATCAGAAAAAAAAAATGAAATAAAAAACGCAGAAGATAGAAAGATCATTGAAGGTGTCCCGTCGTATGATTTCGAAGGTAAGTAGATTTTTTTTTTTGTTATTTAACTTTGTAGAAGAAACAGGAAAACAATTATAAAAAAATATGTAAGCAATCATTTTTTTTCGGTTATGAAATTTTTTTGCAGAAACATGAGCAATAATCTTCTGGTTGTGCAATATGATGGGGAATGGATTAATTAAGTCACTTATGAAGGATATGAAGTTTGTGGTGTCTTCCATAAAGAGAGTGAAAGTTTGGATGATTTACAAGAAGCTGTGGAAAAAATGATAAACAGGGATTTATCAGATGCAAGGATGGTGATGAAGTATCAAATTAGGGAAGGATACAAACCGATAACCATAAGCAACGAGACAAGCCTGCTATTTTATAAAGAGCTGAAAAAGAAAGAAACAGATTACACAAAAATACCTCTTTGTGTAACATTGGAGCCAAGAAAGATCCTTTCCCTCACAAGCATGGATTGTACTGACACGTATATAGAAGGTCAATTGAGGGTACAACCAATCTCCATGATAAGTGATGATGTTTTGAAGAAACAGAGAAGTGCAAGCCAAGAACTTGTCCAGTGTGTAAAGAGATTTTCAAAAGATCTTGTTGAAATAGCAAGTGAAAGCATGAAGAAAATTGAACAGAAGCATAACAATGAAGCAGAATTGAAAAATAGTGCTTCACTGGATGGGAAGCTTGAAGTCGGGCAAACATTTTCAGAGAAAGCTGAACTTAAAAAGTTCATAAGCTTGTATGCCATTAAGCATCAATTCCAATTCATGGTAAGGAAGTCTTGTCAAAGACAGTATTTTCTAAGATGCATTGACAACAATTATTCGTGGAGATTAAAGGCTTCGAGAGTTGGTTGTGCTCCGACTTTTAAAATTCGAAAGGTGTCAGACGAACATATATGCAGCTTCGGTACAAGAATGAATGATCAACGTCAAGCCACGGCAGATATAGTTAGAAAATTTGTTCAAGACAAATTCATGAACTTGAAAACAAATTATACCCCGACCGACATTATCCGAGACATGAAGAATATGTACGGGGTATCACTTTCATACAAGAAAGCTTGGCGAGCACGACAGAAAGCGTTAGAAAATGTTCATGGCCATCCATTCAAATCTTATCTGAAGCTGCCGAAGTATCTCGATAAGCTACTTGATGCTAATCCGGGATCAATTGTAAAGCTTAAGACAGACAATTCAATGAGATTTGAATATGTGTTCATATCATTGAAAGCTTCTATAAAGGGATGGGAGCATTGTCGAGCAATAATAATAGTGGACGGTACATTCCTTAAAGCAACTTATGGAGGGACGTTGATAACAGCAAGCACACAAGATGCAGCCGGCCACATACTTCCACTTGCATATGGAGTTGTTGATTCCTAGAATAACAATGCATATCATTGGTTCTTTGACTTGTTGAAAAATACATTGTCAAAACGAAATGGATTATGCATCGTATCAGACAGACATAAGAGCATCAGACATGCTATTTCAAAGGTGACATTATATATATTTGTATGGATAAATATAATATACTGATGCATAAACTACATAACAAGTTTGAAAAAAAAAAAAGACAACAACTTTAAAGAAACTAAAAGAATTAATTTAATAATTATATTGATATATATTTAAATTTTTTAAGTAATATAAAAAATGACATTGATGCTTAATTTATCAGGTATTCCCAGAGGCAGCCCATTGTGTTTGTGCATATCATTTGTCTAGGAATATAATATCAAACTACAAAGAAAACCTAGAAGCAGTTAAAGGAGCATTCTTTGGAGCAGCATATGCCTACACAATTGATGATTTTAATCATCAAATGGATATAATGTGGAAAGCAAACAAACATGTGGTAGAATATTTGAAGAAGATTGGATTTGAAAGATGGTCCCGTATTCACTGTAAGTCAAACAGATTCCTCGTAATGACTTCAAATGCTGCCGAGACAATAAATTCTACCATGAAGGCTGCACGAGAACTTCCAGTTAGTGTTTTGCTGGAAAGCATACATGGAATGCAACAAGATTGGAGTGTGAAGAATAGGAAAGAAGCAGAGTGCACTTTTTCAAAGCTTGCAAAATTGGGGCACAAAATGCTCGAAGCAAATTATAGAGATTCCATGAGATTAACAGTAAGTACAATATCATTAGATATAATTTATTTATTTATTTATTTTTGTGTTTATATGATAATATACTTTATTCAATTATAAATATATATATAGGTTCAAGAAGCAAGTGATGAAATATTCAAATTGAAACAAGAAACTCAAGTTTTCATCGTGAATCTGAAAGAGAAAACCTGTTCATGCAATAGGTTTCAAATGGATGAACTTCCATGTGCACATGCAATAAGTGTGATTAAAGGAAAGCAACAAGAGCCGGAGGATTATTGTTCTCATTATTACTATACCAGCACACTATTGGCAACATATAACGATTGTGTATTTCCAGTAGATTTTGAATGCACAAAGATTCAAACACTAGTAAAAATGAGATAGAAATAATACCTCCAGAAGAAGTCACTGTTGCAGGAAGAAAAAGAAAGAAAAGGATGAAATCCGCATGGGAGCACGGAAGGAAAAAATGAGGTTTAAGGTATGTTTGAAGTAGTAGGAGTTTGGTAGATTTAGTAGTAGTTTAAACTATTTCTGGGTTATGTATGATTTTTTAAATGATTGAATTGTTTTTTGCTATAATTAAATAATAAAAATGATTAAATGATTTTTTTATATTTAAATTTGTTTAATGAGGCTCTTTTGGTAAAGCAGATATGGAGAAGTCAAACTCAACCCCATCTCCTTGTCGGCAAATTAATGAGGGCTAGATACAATATTAATGGTGACTGGGTGATTTGCAAGTTAAAAATAATCAATCTTGGTTATGGAAGGGGCAGTAGGGGAATGGTTAGAGTTTAGTCATTTATAAACCGTTTCTGTTACTTTGAGGGGGTGAATGGTGATTACTAGGGATGTATAGTGATATCTTGTGGTATTCTTCATTCTTTTTAGGGTTGGTTTCTTGTTTTTTGGGAGTGGCTTGTTGGGTGGGCTGGTTGTAGTTTATATTAAATGTTTGGGTTATTGCAGAAGAGTTGAACAATTCATGGCTTAATCTTGGTTGTTGCTGTTTTGACTATGTTTATGTTGCTGCTCTTATTTAGGTTGGTAGTCTTTTGGGGTAGTTGTTAATGTTGCTTATTTTTGTGCCTTTTGAGGTTTTTTGTTTTTTGTTAAAGTTTCAGGTGGTTGCTCAGGTAAATCCACCGTGATTATGAAGCTTTGTAAATACTAGTTTGTTAATGAAATTTAGTCATTTGACAAAAAAAAAAAAAAATGATTTTCTGTTATTGTTATGATTTTTTTATATGGTTTAATCAAAAAGATACATATCAACTTATTGGATAAGTACAAGAAAAACAGATAAATATGAAAAGCTGGTAGAGAAATTAATTAATAAAAACATTAAAAAAAACACAAAAAAACATCAATGATGAACTCATATATAACATGTGAATGATATATGCATTGTGCATAAATTATCAGATAAACTGAACAATATGAGAAAGAAACGTACTTTAAATAGTAGCAGCAATTAATATAAAAAGGATCCATCGCAGTGATAAAATGGGCAGATAATATTATGATAAAATTCATTTGGAACAATCCTAATAAAATGATTTGGTAGTCTGATCAGTTAGAGTTTGTATATAGAACAATCCTAAAATAATGTGGAGTACAAACGACATTAAATCGGTTATTTAGTTTAAAAAATGAAATGATTTCAAATTTGGTAATAAAAAAAAGAGAGAGAGTAATTCCAAATTCGTGAAAAGAACATCCACAGAAATGAGTAATTCAAATGGAACCATTGTGTGAAAGAACATAATTTTTAACATTGACAACATTCTAAAAGAACAAAATCCTAATCTATGATGTCAGCACCAAGTACATCATAAATGTTAAAAAAAAATGAAAGTACAACCAAAAAGAAAAGAAAAAAACAAAAAAACAAGTCTTCTTAAGAACATAACATTTAATATAAACTACAAATGAAGCCAAGAAAATTGAACCGACTTCCTAGATTCCAGGGGCATAACTCCTGGAGATTCATCTTCACTTTTATATCTATTTGTCATCTTCTTGCATCCATGCTCATATAGCAAATACGAATAACGATTCCGCATGTACTCCACATCCCATTCAGTTGGAATGTTCAATCCCCTCATAAAAAACTCAACAAATGCAGCCACAAATAAACCACAATCACTGAAAAGAAAAAGAAAGAAAAAAAAACTCACTTTAAAAAAAGATAGTATATAAGTGAAGTTAATTAAAAAAACAACAAATACATAATAAAAAAACTCATTAAAAACAATAATTAAAATAATAAGAAATAA